TAAACGTTATATAATAATAAAATTGTGTAAAAAATAAAATGGATAATTTTATTTTATGATCAAAAAGATTTCTGAACGAAAAGGATGGATAGAATTCTGCGTGTATATAAAAATTATTTAGATCATATAAATAAAATATAATGAATGAATTATTAATAAATACATTGATCTCTATAAAAATTAATCTATTTTTTTAATATTTGAAAGAATTCAATTTCTTCTGTAAAAGAAACTCCCTCTTTGAATCTCAAGACTTTTTCATATGCATTATTGTCACTGTCACTAAATTGACAACAAAATTTACCTAGCTTTTTTTTGATACTCAAAGCATTAAAATCTATATATACGGTTTGATCGTTACCATGTATATATATTGCTTCACTAGGATTTTGAACGTTTTATCAATCTTAAAAATAAAACTTTTATCTGTTTCAATATAATAATTTCCATTTGGACATTTGCGTTTTAAACTCCAACCAACAGGATTATATCCGCCAATCAATTCATGTGTACCTTGAATTTTCGTTACGACAAGGGTTTGTTCAATATGACCAAATTCACGATCAAACATTGATCTAGAAATATTATCACGAGATCCACGAAGGATTAACTTGAATTTGTAAGGAATATTATTTTCATTGTAAATGTTTGCATTTTGATTGTCAATCCAACTAGAAATAAGACATCTGAATTCTGAATTTAATAAAGTTTTTGATCTTGGGTTTTTTTGGAGCATTAATTTTGGTCCATCATCAATAGCAAGATGATGATGATGTTCAAGGATCTCTTTATATAAATCTTCGTTAATGATCTTTTTCATGTGTTTGATTTTTTTATTAAAATCATCAATAGTAATTTCATTGAATCTTATCAATGGAATCAAATCATCTAATATCACCTTTAATTTAATCAAATCGTTTTCGTTCCATTCATTCCATTTAGAAAAATGTTTTTCTTCCAATTCAATATCTTGAGCAATGCCCCACTGAACAACATGATCCCAAATCTCTATTTCATTTAGAGCCAAATCATCCATTTTTAAGAAAGATATAAGC